AGTCACATTGCACGACTCACGGACAAAGCCTTGGCATACACCGCATGACCTAGCACCGTGTCGTCCACCCTGGACCATCCCCCAACTCGGCCCAAGCCTGGCCCACCTGAGCCCGTTAAGAGCCTAGTCATTTGTTGATCGCTGACCACCAACGATGATCGCTGACCAACCCCACATGTCGCTGACCAGGTGCCGAGGGCCACCGTCGACCGCCGCTGCCGAGATCACCGCTGTTTGAGATCACCGCTGCCGAGACCACCGCTGCGAGACCATCGCTGTTGAGACCACCGCTGTTGAGACCACCGCTGCTTGAGACCACCGCTTCTTTGAGATCACCGCTTCTTTGAGGCCACCGCTGTCGAGACCACCATTGCCGAGACCACCGTTGCTTTCGAGACCACCGCTTCTTGACCACCACCTGCTTCGAGACCACCGCTGCCGAGACCACCGCTGCCAAGATTACCATTACCGAGACCACTTTGTTGCGAGACCACCACCATTGCCGAGACCACCGCTGCCGAGATTACCGCTATCGAGACCACTGCTTGCCAAGACCACCATTGCCAAGACCACCGCTTCTTGAGATTACCGTTGTTGAGACCACCGCTGCCGAGACCACCATTGCCGAGAGACCACCATTGCTTGAGATCGCCGTTCTTGAGACCACCGCTTGCCAAGACCACCGTTGTTGAGACCACATGGCCTCACCGGCGAGAGACCACCATGGCCTCGCTTCTTTGAGACCACCATGACCCCGTCTACCGCAAGCCGTACCCTCTGGACCATGAACCCTAGTCGTATGTCTTACCGAGACCATGGAAAGCCCCATCTCGCATCTTTCCGTATACGCATATCTATCTTGTCGGGCCCTATTCTTACAACCTATCTGTCCATGACTGTCTTACAGGAATTCACCTATCACCTAGCTATGGAATGTGCTACTCCGTAGTCATGTCGAGTTGTTGCGTCTTTCGGTCGTGTTTGGTTCTTATCGCTGGTTGTTGGTGATGTTGCCTGTGTGCCGAGCCTTCGAGCCGGCTGAGGGATCGTACCTCGTTCGGACGTTACGATCGCGGGATCCGTCTCGCCATGACCATGATGCTGAGTGTGACTCGACCCCTCGCCTTTTAGTTGACTTCATAGTACCACGAGTGTTAGCTCCTGCCTTCGGCCCTAGAACATGGTCGTGATGGATTCGATGTCGATACTAACATCGATGCGGATATCACCCGCACGCCTTGAGCCTTCCATGACCAAGTTCTGTGGGAGAAAACCTGGGAGTAAACAATCGTGGAACGATCAATGCCAACTCGTAGGCATAGCTTGTGGCCGCGAGTTCACCTCGCCATGACCATGGAGCTACGCCTCTCTTTCGCTTTTAGTTGCTTCTTCGTGCTCAAGCCCTTGTATGCTTGTACCCCGTTTGACCATCACGTTTCTCCGATTCTCGTGGTGACAACCGTACCGCTTCGAATCCGAGAGATATCTTAGTGCCAGTGCACCTAAGCCGGGTACCCTACGAGTGGTTTGCGTACTTGGTGTTTGTCGCTTCCTTCCAATGCCCCGTCTTTCGTCGTGGCGCGAGTGATGGAAGAAGAAGACCTTGTCCCTTGTTGTTCTTGCTCTTGTTGCACCATTAGCCTGCTCTGTTCGATTCTGTCTTGCCCATGACGATCGGATCAAAGACCGGACTATTCCTTTTGGGTTAGCGAAGCTATGGTCTATGTCGTACCTCGGACCCGTGCGTGTCGACCCGATCGATCGTCTAAAACCATCTTTCCCGAAGATGTGTCTGAGAACATAACATGGACGTGCCTAACTAACCCCGCATCTTTTGCCGTGTTGAGCGACTCTCTTCTCGGCTCCCGACGTTATTGTGTCGTGTGGATCGAGGGGAACCGTTGATGTCCAATCTCTTTGCGCTACCGCTTTCTACCATAGCGGGCGAGCCAAAGTACGTTGGAGCCAAGGTACAATAGTGTTAATCGTTCTTGTTTGCTACTCGTGTCCAATTGTGACTTGCAGGATAAGGCTATAAGAGCTGAACCCTGTCGTTCTTCTTTCTTGGGGCCCGACTTCCAATCCCCGTCAATTCAATGACACCGGATCAAAAGATCGTGAGCCGTGGTGATTGCTCTGGATAAGCTCTGGCTTAAACCGTTTATCGTAAAGCCATACTGGCTTGGCCATGACTTAAGCTTGTGCTCAGCATACCACCACTCGTGTTTCTTTGGCCCATGAATCGAACAACCATCGAGAGGGCTAAGCCGTGTATCTCTCATTGCCTCACTGGTGTTATTGGATTTTTCCTGCGTATTGTCGTCTTTTCGAGTGTGGAGTGCTCTCTTGCCTTGCGTGTCGCTTCGCGGAGTAGCTGACGATCGGACCAAGAGAATGTGGACGACGACAAGGACTGCGGAATGGAGTCAACGCAAGAGGAGGTGACCCTGCTAATGGAACACCAATGAATGGAGAATTGTACCACTACTACCTCTACATCGCAGGTGTCATGGCAACACCCTCTTTTAGAGAATCCTATTAGACATTGCATAATAACTAGAACTGCTAACGCTTTATAAATTATTCCTTTACTAGTACTTTGATGCATGCTACTACCTGAGCCATTATTACCCTGATGCAACCCACTCTACCATGTCACCCTGCCTTGCGCATTCGCTCGCTTATATATGCTTACTTGCCTGCTTGCTTGCATATTACACCACTATACTTATTATTAACTCCACTTCACATTATGTCAGGGGATGTGATGCTGGTGGTGAACCCCTTGGGAATGGTTTGGCTATGGGTGCCGGACTTGGTGTGTGAGCGTGCTGCGTGTGTCTTGGGTGCGTGGAGAGTGAGGGTTGTGTTGACCGAGCTAGAATAACGACGAGCCTGGTGCGAGTCTTGCCATGTGGTGCTACCTGGGCACTTGGATATGGAATACCTGTGGCGGGTAAATGGTAATTGGAGGTGGCCTTGGGTGTGAACCTTGGAGAGGTGGAGCCCGGGGTAGAGGTGATGTGGTGGCACGTAAAATGAAAACCCTGATGAAGACATTCTGGCTTGGTCATCCCTAAGGACTTACTAGTACTCAGATTCACCGGGAATCCTTTACATCCCACTCGCCCTATATGGTGCGGGACGGTCGGACTACTTGGTAGAGCGATGCCACTACTGCTAGGCGAACGTGTGCAAGGAGGTACGGGGCGTGGAGTTCCCCACACCCTTCCGAGACTTCAGGAGGCCTTGTGGACTCGGCTCTTGACACCCGGAGGGCCCCGGCTCTGTCTATGACTCACAGTATCAGCCATCCTAGACTAGACTTGGGATGTACTAGGGCTAAGAGGTAGGGTGGCATCGTTCTAGGCTAGCAAGCGACCGGAATTCTGCCTAGGAGATACATGGCTCCGAGGATGGCTAATCTTGTGGGTATGTAAAATCTTTGCAGAGTGTATGGTTGATCGATCGATACTTATGCCGACTTGTCGGCTATGGACCTTTCCTGGGTTTCGCTTAAACTAGATAGGAGATGAGTCCTTTTCTCCCTCTAGGGTTGGGGTATTTTCCGGTCGTGAGCCTTGGGGCTACGGGCCGTTGAGACAAGGCCGAGAGGGAGTTGGCCTATCAACCTGAGTGTGTGAGATGAGATAAGGTGTGGTGGTGTGGAGAAGGTTTGGGATGGATGGTTGGTGGATGGATATGGATGGTGTGGTGGTGAATGTGTTATAAATTGGATATTATTATTATGATACAATTGTTATTTACTTCTCATGCGCTAAGAATGCAAACCACAGCCAAATATTAGGATCGCCAGATCCCTTGTTTATCTTTTCCACTAAAGCTCATCGGTGCTGACCATGGCCTGCATACATCTGGCGGTGTGCAGATTTCCTGCTTCTCAGAGATGCTGACTTTAGAAGGATTAGGAGGTCTCGTGCCTACGCTCAAGTTTGGTTCGGAGATGGAATCTATGCTGCACTATGCCAACTCTGATGATGACCCGTGAAGGAGGAGCCTTCACTCGATAGTCTTCCGCTAGATTAACTCTGTAATAGGTGTGTTCCCCAGTGATGTAATATCTTGTATTCTTGTAATCTTACGATGTATGACTGTGACATCGACTAAAATATGATAATATGATGGAATCAGTTCTTAGTTTTATCATATTAAAATTCATTATGTGGATTTTCCCTTCAAGGAAAATTGAGGATGTTTCAGCAGTGGAGGCGGCGTTCCACGACCGGGAGGAGAGGCGTCGAGCTTGAAAGAGGAAGAGGAGGCGAGATATTTTTAGAAGAATTCAGAAGGAGAAGCAGAAGCAGTTGTTTGTATTTGGTCGACCGGATTCAGACCAGACGTAGCAGAAGCTGGCAAAATCAACGCAAAGCGACGAGATCTGCAAGAAGCTGATTCAAATGGAAGCTGCTACAAGCAATCTGGGCCACACGATGGAGGATCGGACGGCTGGAAACGATTTGGGTGATGTGGATGGCCTGAGCATCGGCTAAACTAACATGCTTTGATATATAGAGATTTTACAACGAGAGATGAGCAATTGAGCTTAGAATATTACCGCTAGCATGTACATGGTGTTTGGTTCAACTAAATGTAATGTAATTGGATTACAGAAAGTAATTAATATTGTTACTGTTGTTTGGTTGGACTTGTCCCGATATTAGGTACCCTGTAATCCAATTACAGCCTATTCAATTCTGATCCCGGACATCCCAAGCCTTATTCGATACCGCCGTCGCTATAGGGCTAGGGCGCTTCCTCTTCCTCGCCTCGCGATTCTGTAGATGCAGCCGTGGTCGACGAGGGGCTTCAAGTTTAGGATCCACGTCAACTCCTCCCTTGCGGGCTCCACGGTCCAACAGCGAACTCACGCTGCTCCCCACGAAGTTGGCGACCCCAAGATTTTTGTCCTCCCCACCCCCGGGGACAAGCTTGGGCCCAGATTCAATGTCGCCGCCGCTACATCCGCTGTCCCTGTAGTCATGAGGAGGTGGTGGTGGTCCTCCCGGGACCTGATGTCGTGCCTGGCAGCGGCGGTGCTGTGGGGGGCCATGATCAAAAGAATCACGGTGGCCCCTGGGAATGTCAAGGCCAAGGGCTGATGCGGTGGGAGCGAGGTGGACCTGCACATGTTGCTCCTCGGGGGAGCGGCTCCAGCACTGGCCAGGTTCGTCGCTAGGTGAGTGGACTCCGTCGTCGTGCGTTCGTCGCTTCCTGAAGATTGGTCACTCAGCGTCATCGTGCAGCTCGTGCACTCAGCTTATTCCATTACCATCCAAATCCAAACAAAATCTGTGATTTGATTCATTGTTTATGGTCCCAGGGTAATTCGATTTCGTTTACATTTGCGTTTACATTTGCCAACCAAACAGCACGGTAGTTAATTCTTAAAGTGTTCATCTTTGGTCCTTGCCTCACATGCCCTCTAATCCAAACCTTGTCATTGAAATCTTCAGGGAACAAACTTCTCTGTGGCGACTTGGTCGGCAGACGGCACTCCATGCCCTTCCCCTTCCAAGTCCTCGTCATCTTCATCCAGGAGCATGAATGTACTTATCACCATCGCCATCGTGGTGGTCGCGATCGGCGCGGTCCTAGCAGTTGCCGGCGTCATCGCGGTGGTCCAGGCCCGCCGCAACGAGTCACGCAATGCCGGAGTCACCGAAACACAAGGCGGTAGCCCCGACGCCGCCAAGGTCACCTCTGCTCCGGCCGTCAAGATCGAGAAGGTATGCACATGGCAGCGTGTGCACCTGCCAGCCTAGTTCAAACTGCTGTTGACATTCGTCTATATCGATGCAAAGTAACGTTCATGACCGCAGGGTGGCATGGATCAGCACGGCGGCGTAGTGACGCCCACGGCCGGGAAGCGCGGCGGTCGGCGAGACGACCACGGGAAGCTGGTGTTCATCTAGGAGGGGCGGGCGCGGTTTGAGCTAGAGGACCTGCTCCGCGCCTCCACCGAGGTGCTGGGCAGCGGCCAACTTCGGCGCGTCCTACAAGGCGACCCTACTGAACGGGCCATCCCTGGTAGTGAAGCGGTTCAAGGACATGAACGGCGTCGGGCACGAGGACTTCTCGGAGCACATGCGCCGGCTGGGGCAGCTCGTCCACCCCAACCTCCTCCCCGTCATCGCCTACCTCTATAAGAAGGAGGAGAAGCTGCTCGTCACGGACTACATGGCGGTAAGCAAGCAACGCGAGACATACATTGATCGAATTGTCGCTGTGGCATGACTGATGATGTGCAAGCAATGCGATGTAATGGAATTTGCAGGGCGATGTCGAGCTCGCCGCCGCCGGATCGGGCCGGGCGTTTGAAGATCGCAAGGCGGCGTGGCGGCGTGGTCATGCGCACTGTCACGAGGAGCTACCGATGCTGATGGTGCCGCACGGGCACCTCAAGTCCTCAAACGTCTGCTTTGGACACCACCGCGAGCATTGTTGAGCGACTTCTGTGGCCGGCAAAGACGCGCGCGCAGATGATGGTGGCGTACAAGTCCCCGAGTCGCGGCGCGCGCGGCGACCGGGCGGAAGAGCGACGTGTGGAGCCAGGGCATCCTCATCCCGGAGGTGCCGACGGAGTGACGGGCAAGTTCCCGCCAACTACCTCCGGCAGGCCGCAGCGGGCATCGACCTCTCCGGGTGGGTCAACTCGGTGGTGCGGAGGAGTCAACTCCGCGGGTGTTCGACAACGACATGCGGGGGCCGCGAGCGGCGAGGGCCAGATGGGGAAGCTCCTCCAGGTCGGGCTCGGCTGCTGCGAGCCCAACGTGGGCCGGCGCTGGGGCCTCGAGGAGGCGCTCATGCGCATCGAGGAGCTCTGGGAGTGCAACAACGCCGACGACAGCAGCACCGCCTCGTCGTTCTTGAGCGACAGAGAGCCGGCGACGGCGTCACGGCCACCAGGCGAGCCACAGTCGCACTCCGAATAGAGAAAACAGTGTGGTTTTGGTGCAAACGTTGTGTGTGTGATGTCCGTGTACCATGGCACGCACTGTGGTAGAACCTCCTAAATTATAGGACCCTCATACATTTGTCACTGTCCAAAGACCTTTGACAACAATGCATGTGTTCCTGGTAACTTAAGAAGTCTGTCGGGTGTCCTCGGGGAACCCCGAATCATCCACGATTTCCGAAAGGGGATCACATTACGTAGAAATTGCAAGATTACAACAGTTTATTCAAATAAATACATCAGAGTAAAAGTAGCGAAAAGACTTACAATAACATAGTTTACAAACCATTTGTTTCAAACCATACAACTAAGTTCGATATTAATACAAACCAAAGTAGTGGAGCGGCATTATAATATAATACAAAACACACAATGAGGCTGCCCTGCCCAAGGGCCACACAATTACTTCTCAACGCCATCACAAGGTACAATCATCATGCAAAGACGATCCGAAACAGATCGCTCATGAGGCTCACCGCAACAAGGGTCAACGAACCACGAGTACAAAAGTACTCAACAAGACTTAACCAAATAAGAACCGATAACTCGTGAATGCAGTGCTCGAGGATTCAAGGTATGGTTTTAGCAATAATCAAAGTTATTTTATGCGTAAAAGCTCTTTGACAAAATTCTTTGTTTCAACAGTTTAAACTTCATAAAATCATATACAAAGATGACACGATCCGTAATGAGATCATGAAACTTCATATCCAACACCTTCATCAACCATTCTCAAGTTCCAATTATTAATTACTACGATGATGAATAAAGAGTTGAGTCTCCATAACCGAGGAGCAACGACGATTCTTAACCGATTATAAACCCAACTTGGGATTCCAGACCACCACGACATATATGCGGGTCCCCGACCTACATATACCAACCTATTCTCGGATCCTCTAAAACAAGAACGGGTCCGCGCCACCCGAGAATACAAGACTCCACCATTCCAACCCATTGCCACGTGGGTACACGCTTATTCCCGCCATCTCTCCACTCTCGGTCATGCGAGTAGCCATTCTCGTAATAGAATTGCCAAGTTCAGAAGCTTACCGGAGTATGTGGTTAGTACTACAAATTCTCACCTCATGCAATTCAACAACGGACGTGCCTTAATCGACACAAAGGAAAGATCCCGCTCACAAGACCTCCATGTCTTGTGGCTCACACACACCGAGTCCGCCTTGGGTCTAGATTTATTACTCCACATTCCCATATCACATGCTAACATAATTAACCAATGTTCCATTTAAAACTTGCGGTGGCGGTAATCACCCGACTTTCATCGTTTCTACGCATAGCTAAGCAAAACTAGGCATATACGAGTTCAAAAGCGGTAAATATGGTAAATATGGAATAACAAGGATGGTAATGCACCAATTAGGCTCTTACTTAATTCTTAATCACTTAATGCAAAGAATTTTAAAGCAAAAGCGAAATTAATTTGTAAAACACAAGGTAGGGTTGTATGCATCCGGGGCTTGCCTTCGTTGACGGAAAAGTCCGGCTCCTGCGACGTTTCACAAGTCTTCGATCCGACCTCAACAGACAGATCAACCTCCTCCGCAACTTGATTAACTACCACGTGTTCACCTTCGTTTACTACACGTAGTAACATTGCCATGTTTAACATGATGCGGAATATGAAACATGATGCTCGATGATGGATGCAAAAATTAATAAATTGGATACAATTTTCCTTTGCAGTACAGTTACAAACCAAACTAACCAAACCATATTCATAACTGATGTGACCACACTAGCACCGATCACTTTGGTGAACTCTCCGACCACTATGGTGAACTCTCCGACCACTACGGTGAACTATTCGACCACTACGGTGAACTATCCGACCACTACGGTGAACTATCCGACCACTATGGTAAACTATGCGGAGCAAAGATCGTCGGTGAGGGAGAACCGGCGACTGCAGTGATCAAAATGAGTAAACAACAACTGACTAAGGACTACAGCATCGAAACGAAACCGTAAGTACACTGATTACAGACAATGGCTTACCGAAGGACTCGCCATTTACGATGACACGCTCAAGGGCGGTGAAGTTCTTGACCTCGAGGAAGAAAAACGTGGACAAATGAGTTCTCGGCAATTTCAGGCGACCAATGTTAGCTGGCTGGATTCGCAAGGAAAAGACGGAACTAAGACGACCTTTACTGAGATGGCAACAGCGCTGGGGAGATGATGCAAGCTTGTTGGAGCGATGACAACGGCGGTGGTGAAAACAAAGGAAGAAAAAGCACGATGACGACGACGTCTTGGTACTTATAGCGCCAGCAGAAGCTCAAGGAAGCCACGACGGAGCCGCTTCGTGCTGCTGCCAGTATGACATCAAGGACGGCCACGACGCTACCGAACGCCAAGAAGGTCCGACGACAATGTAGCTTAGGCGGTGAACACTGTTCATAGAAATTACAAAATTGCCATACGCCAAAATTCACAAATTACTCAAATTTTCATAACAACTCAAAAATCTCCAAAAACAAAAGTTGTTCAAAATCGAAAGTTCTACAACCTTGCTTTTATAACCATCTCCTAATTCGGTCTAGATTTTGAAATGGATTTTCAGGGTAGGATTTAAATGCTGAAAAGCGGGGTTTTCTCGAAAATTCAAAATCCAAACAAACTTTGAACTAGAGTCAACCAATACAATTCAACACATACCACATGAATATAAACTTGTTTTAGTGTATGCATCTCAAAGTTTTCACCAAATGCCAAATGCTTTGCAATGCATATGATGACATGTCAGGTTTTAGTATTTTAAACACCCGAGGTGTTACAATCCTTCCCCCTAAAAGAAATCTCGCCCCGAGATTCAAAGCCATAGAGTAAGTAATAGAAAAGGAAATGTGTCAATCCAAAAACATCTAGAACTTTTCCATAAAACAACTGAGGTTCTTTTACAAAACACAATTTGTAGCAACCGAGCTCAACTAACATTATTCTATTCTATATTGACGCTTAGAAACTCGAAACTTTTCTAACAAGTAATCTTCCGATTCCCAAGTAGCTTCCTCTTCCGAATGTTGATTCCATTGTATCTTGTAGAACTTTATTGTTCTCCTCCGAGTAACACGATCTTTCCGATCCAACACTTTCGGATAGGATATTCTCAATAAGTCGATCTGGTTCAAGTTCCACTCCTTCAACTTCAACATTCCGCCAGCACTCGGAGACACTTCTTTAATCGAGACACATGGAACACATCATGTACAAATGATAAATGTTCGGTAATTTCAAGCGATATGCCACTTTTCCAAACCTCTCTAAAATTTGATATGGTCCAATGTATCGAGGTGCCAACTTTCCTTTAACACCAAAACGGTTAACTCCCTTCATTGGTGATACTTTCGGATATACAAAATCTCCTTTGTTGAATACCAATGGTCTCCGTCTGCTCATCCGCATAACTCTTTTGGCGGGATCGAGCTATTTTCAAATTACTTTGTATTTGCCTAACCTTGTCTTCCGCTTTCTTTCACAAGGTCAACTCCAAAGAATCTTCTTTCTTCGGCTCCGACCAACTCAAATGATGTTCTGCACCTCCACGGCCATAGAGTGCTTCAAATGGAGCCATTCTAATGCTTTCCCGATAACTATTGTTATATGAGAACTCGGCCAAAGGTAAGCATTCGTCCTACTTGTTGGAATAATTAAGGACACAACACCTTAACATATCTTCAAGCACTTGATTGACTCTTTCATCATGTCCCATCGATCATGGATGATAAGTCATACTATACATAAGTTTAGTACCCAATGAAGCATGTAAGTGTTTCCAAAAGTCGGAGACAAACTGTGTTTTATCGGACACTATGGTCTTTGGTATTCCATGGAGACTCATAATTCTTGCTAAATATATCTTGGCATATTGGACAAAGGGATATATAGTCTTGATAGGAAGAAAATGTCTTGACTTAGTGAGTCGATCTACAATAACCCATACTTGAGTCAAATCCTTTGATGTCTTGGGTAGACCAACAATAAAATCCATACTTATGTCCTCCCACTTCCAAGATGGAATAGGCAATGGTTGTAATTCACCAAAGAGACCTCAAATGTATAGCTTTCACCTTTTGACAAGTATCACACTTTGCTATATATCTAGCAATCTCTATTTTCATTTTAGTCCACCGAATCTTTGCTTCAAGTCATGGTACATCTTGTTACTTCCCTGATGGATAGATAACCTAGTAGCATGTGCCTCCTCTAGAATTGATTGTCGCAACTCGGGAACCTTTGGTACCACCAAAGCGATCCTTGAACCAAACACATCTTTATCATCTATGTCAAGCATTCTCGCTTTTCCATTCTCGACTCTTTCCTTGATATGGGCTATACCCTTGTTTTCCTTCGAAAGCAAAGAATAACTTGATCTCTAATAGTGGCTTCTACAATTATGTTGGTCAAACTTCCTTGTTGAATTACTTCTATATTCAACTTTTCCATTTCTTGACATAAAGTAAAACCCATTGTTTTCACCGCCGATTAATTACAATAACTTTTATGATCGAGAGCATCTCAGAACTACATTTGCTTTACCGTGGTGATAATGTACTTCCAAATCATAATCCTTAATCGGTTCTAACCATCTTCTTTGTCGCATGTTCAACTCTCGATCGAGTAAAGATATACTTTAAGCTCTTGTGGTTCAGATATACATATGGCACGTATTACCAAGGTGTAATGCCGCCAAATCTTTAGAGCATGAACCACAAATGCTAACTCCAAATCATGAGTAGGATAGTGTTCTTCATGTTGCTTAAGTTGCCTAGACGCATAGGCAATGACTCGCCTTCTTGCATCAACACACATCCAATACCAATACCAAGCATCACAATAAACATCAAATGGCTTCTCGATATCGAAGTTGAGCTAACACCGGTGCAATGATCAACACCTTTTTAAAGTCTAGAAAGCCTCTTCACAATCGATGACCGATAAACTTGACTTGAT